GGGGGCCTTTAACATTGAAAAGAAGTAGATAGGAATGCTGTTCAAGACTGCCTGTGCCAAGGTGAGTCGTCCCCCTTTGGACAAAGTCAAATACTCCCATTTTTCCAGCCTTTTATGCATCTTGTCTACCACTGCCTCCCAGTAACTCTGTTTACGTTGATTACCACCTAATGGAAAACCCAGATGCCAACTGGATAGGGAAATGATCCGAAGTAGTTCGATACAGTCTACTAGCTCGCTGATATACAAAAACATCCCGCCAGTCTTTAGAAAGTAAGAATCTGTCTAACCTTGATAAAGTCGGGGAGTCTCTCAAATTGGACCACGTGTAAGAACCATTGACAAGGGGAGGGTCCACCAGATTTAGGCCTTCTATGAGATTATTAAAATCTTTCATACTTCAAGTGATACGACCTTGATTCCTGCACTGTTTCTCTGATAGCCATCTAGCCACATTAAAGTCTCCACCGATGCACCAAGCACCTTGGCATAAGCCTGCCAAGTCTTCTAATTCCCTCCAGAAGTCGGCTCGACCTCTAATGGAAGAAGGGCCATAGACCCCTGTAAACCAACCGTTCCTGCCATCAATCAAACTAAACTGTAAAGTAATGGTAAAAGAGCCCGTCACCGGACTAGAGACAGAGACCTTTTGCTCATTCCAAAGAACTAAAATACCCCCTGATATATCTTCCGCATCAAGTGAAAACCAACCCACGTGTCTAGAGCTCCAAATGGATCTAACCAGCCACCGATCGATAGAGCTCTTCTTTGTTTCTTGGATACAAACTAGATCTGGATCCGATTTCTGGATCAGATCCTTCACGAGGGCACGTTTTGAGGCCGCACCCAATCCTCTCACATTCCAAGAGATGATCTTCATTTAGAAACGGAGGGACCCGCTTCTATACTCTGCTTAGCTAATATCGCTTCATTCTCCCAAGTAACAAGCAAATTTCTAACCTCTCTGCTATCGGAAGAGTTCACATTATTACCCTTTCCAGAAGCCTTCCCCTTTTGGGAATGGGTCTAATGCACATATTGTGCTCCCACAGTTCCATCACCATGTTTTTCGTAAAGGAAAAAACCTTAAGAGGGGTGGGATCTTTGCACCTTTCCTCTTCTTCCTCTGTCTTATCCTCGTCGGGGGGCTCTGGTGGTTGACTTTCTGATAGTTCAAGATTAGCTACTACTAACTCTGTACTCTGTTCCTCGAGAGGATCCTCAATGGACTGTTCAAAGCAACTAAAGTATCCATCTGGTATTTCTGAAAAGAAGTTCTCAACATGGGGACTTTCTGGTCTTGGGCATTCCTCACTAAACCAGGAGGATTCTGATGACGCTTCTAATTGTTTACCTTTTTTCTTAGCGTTCTCAGCGATTTCTGCATTTCTGGTTTTCTTTTTCTTCTCCTGACTTTCCTCTTCCGTCGTAAAAACTATCCCTTTCTTGAAATTTGGTGAGCCCTTTTGTCCTTTTTTAAAAACGACCCTTCTCGATTGTTGTGTGGCCTCTGTTGCTAAAGTACTTATACCTTTTTTTAGAACGCCTCCTTTAGTGATAGGTTCAGAAGCCTTTTGAACTGCTGTTTTTTCCAAAATTGGTCTCTGGCCTTCTGGGCACGTCAGTGGGTCCTATTTGAAAACTGTGCTTTTGTACCTCAGTTGCTTCTGTTGTCTTTGTCATGGTGTGTCTCGAGGTTTTGCAGTCTGTTACCAGAGAGGGGGAGGCAATAACTGTTGGGTAAAAGAACCCATCTTCAACTCTCCAAAGGTCTACTGAGCTAGGGCTTGGTTTCACCGCCGGACCTCCGTGAAACTTTACAGCTGCTTCCGGTGAGAAACTGCCGTGGACTTTGGCTTCCTTTCCTATCAATAGTTTGACATCTTCGAAGGTCGCTGTCTGTGCTAGGAAAAACAAACCATCATCTTGTATCTTGATACCAACTGGGATAAAGCCACAATAATTTCCTTTAACTCTAATTGCAACATCCATACATTCAATTCTCGCGGCATTCTCATCGGCAAACTCAATAAAACCTCCGAAAGTGTCACCTATCTTCCGAAAGAGTTCTTCACTCCATAAATGCAGAGGGATATTCCTGAACTTTAACCATCCCCCATATGATGGGACCACTGTGCTAAACCCGTGTCTTTCCTTGTTCCACCTCTCCACCTTAAGAGTCAATGCACCGAAAGTTACCCAACCTTTGTTCGTACAAAGGAGTCTTGCTAGCTCTTCGTTTGGCCATTTCAGAATGGCCTTGTCCGGTTGAAACGCATTAATGATAAGGTTTACCTGAAGTTGACTCTCGAGTGTGTTTAAGATAATTCCCCAATCGTTGTGGAAATCTCTTATGGTAACAACTAGAACGTGGTTCCAATCTACGTACCTGATTTCTTTTGTCTATGGCTGATGGGCGTTGTTCGTGATCTGTGGGGAGGGCTCAAGAGTTAGAGCGGCTGCAAAAGACTTTGCCATCTGGTGCCTGATTGGGGACTTGGCTTTTCTTGATGACTCGTGTCCATTGAGGAAGTCAAGAAGAAGTTGCTTGAAAATTTTCCAGCCACTGAAATCCTCTCCCGCCGGGATAACTATGTTTGCCTTTCCTCCGGAATGTTGTACCTTCGTGATTTCAATGAAACTTACTCTCTTGTTAGTCGTCTTCAGAATCCATACAAAGTCGTTCTCACTATGAGTCTTCCGGAAGAATTTCTGGGTTTTAGGCGAAAGGAGGTCTGAGATGGAGTCAGTCAGCCAGACAATCACCAACTCTTCTAAGGAAATCGTAAACCGTCTCTGCAAATGTTGCTCTTCGATCAGAACGAATCTTCCCTTTGTTCTTTTGTCAAAGGAGCAGGAGAAAGATTTGTTTTCTATCCTTGAGGTTAATCGTCGAGAAGCCATCCTCACTCCTGGAGATGGCCGCCGGAGAAGGTCTCCTTCGCCGCTGGAGAAGGCCGCCGGAGCTCAGTCCATAACTCTCAAGGACCTTTTACTAGATAGGTATTCAACACAGTTCAGCAGTTTGGAGCATGTCATGATAAAGTATTCCAAAATATCAACATTCTTTTTCATGGGATCCTTCTCAAAAGTACCCACTTTCTTCTTCATTCCAATACTTCTCAAAATTTTCTTGGAATAACTAGAAATTGAAATGGCCGAATGAGTTTGGTTCTCAAATTTCCCACACATTGTACCTTTCTTCTTCTTGTATCTACATTCTTGAAGTCTACTTGGAAGGAAGAGCTTTCCTGCATTTTCTTGTAGCCTACGTTCTTAAAGTTCAATTGGAGAACCTTCATCTCCTTCAATCTTTTCACTCCTACGAGAATCTTCTTTAGTGTCATCAAAATAATCTACAACAAACCCATAGAAAAACTCTTCTTCTTTGCTGGAAAAGTTGGATTCTTGAAGCAATAACCTTCACTTTTGCATTCTTGAGATCTATTGTGGTGGAGAATATTCATAATATTTTATGTGGACCGGTTCCCCTGTTCTTGGTGTTGTCTTGTTGTTAATATAGGCCGCTCTTGTCGTTCTTGATGAAGATTATTGTCTTTTGTATCATAAAATTGCTGCTAGTTGGATCTAATCCCAAATTAAGGATCTCATCTTCCTCACTTGAAGAATCTAGATGTATTTCATCTCTCCTTTGAAACAAAGGATTTCGATTGGATTCTTGCCGATCAACTCGCAGTTCTTGCAGAATTCTTGGTGCAAAAACAGGTTGTTGAAATCTTCTTCGTTGGTGTTGAAGGATTTTAATGCCCTGTCCTCTTCGTTGTTCTTCTTGGCCAATTCTTGATTCATTTTGCTGCAAGTTTAAATCTTCGAGTCGCCAAGCTATCTTTTCAAAAGTTGTCGTATCTCACCTACATTTGTTTTGATATCTTCCATAGCTCCTTCAACCGACAGCAAGCATTTGGTTGTGGCTCGTGGTGAGAGGGCGGTGGTTTGATCCACCCCTTTCTTGACAAGAGAAGAGTCTCCTACGACAACACTGGTGGGAGCTTGCTTGCTTGCCATGTCAAAAAAGAGCCCAAGAATCTTGGTGCTCTGATACCAATTGATGTAATCTTGCACAAGAGTTTTAAGAATAATTCAATCATGCTTTACTAAGGAATAAGAAACCTATTTATAGAGGTTTCTGACTTATAACAAAGTAACAGCAACTAAGAGTTACTGTGCTGTGAAAGAGAATTAATAGAAACATAGCCCATGCATACAAGGATACTAAAGCTACAACTACTTAAAAGGCAAGAACAACTTAAAAGACATCTTTGACTACATCAATAACCCTATGTTGAAGCACCATAACCATTTTGTCAACAAGCCTTCAATGTGCAATCTCAGCCAAAAAACCTAGACCCTTGAAATCCAAAGGCTTACACACTAGCTTAGCTCCCAATTGACTAGATGAGACCTCTTCTCTTCATCAACCCCTTTCCAAAGAAAATCCCGCATCTTTATTGGTTAAAGTAGTTATTCTCTGGATTTCTTGCTTCGGAAGAAAAATATTTTTTTTCTAAATAAAATTACATTGGAATCAGTTACAATCGGTGAAGCATGTATTGGTAGATCTTCTTCCATGCTCTTTGAATCACAATTTCCATAAAACATGTACTTTTGCTTGAATAAGCTGATCAAGTTTTTCTCTTTTTTCTAATAAGAAACCGAGTTTTTATTGAGAAAAAGAAAGAATATACAATGGCATACAAAAATAAAATAAAATAAATAAAATAGTCTAACCCTGAATAAAACCTAAAAGAAGGGACTCAAATCCATTATAATAATTTAAAGATATTTCATTAACATGAAAAAAAAACGAATAATTGATGATTAACCTGGATGACAAGGTAGAAGATAAGTCAATTGCCATATTTCTGGAGGAAGTGGATTATTTCCAGCCCATTCATATACTCCAAGTACCTGACACCAGTGAACACTGATTGCATCAACAATTAATTTTAGATCATAAACCAGAGAATCGGAGACTTGAGACATACTGAAAGCCACATTTTCCCCCAAGAAGTAATCTGATTTGCACCACCATGGTCCAAGATCCATTTACGTGCTTTGTCCACAGCCCCCTCTCCATCTTCAGCTTCTTCACCAAGCAACCTCAAAGTAACATAACTCAGCACAGAACCAAACATTGTGCTTGGGCCTTCAATATGTAAACCCCATCCTCCATCTTTATTCTGCATCAACATAAATGAAGTTATTAAACTCATTTCTAAATGGTAAAGGACTTCCTATTACTTCTGTCCTTTCTACACAATATACCTAGAAACTAAGAAATTTACAAAAACATAATGACTGTCCTTTTTATGGTAAAATATTTTCATCGTAAAGGAGAAGTTGGGAAAACGAATATTATGCAATTTAAACTGAAAACGTATCCTCAAAGATTTTAAGCTATAACATCAAAAAATGATCTTGCCTGATGATTGTAGAGATATCTGCAAACCTCACGCTGGTGTTCTGTAGATAAGACGGCATTCAAAGCCCCAGTAATGGAAAGAGTAATGACCTGTAATAGCAGATCAACATGACAATGCACATGGTTAACAATGCAGTGGTACAACTGGGAGGGAATGGTAGTAAAAATTGACATTGTCTATGGCTCTATTGTGCGTGTTCCATGAAGTATAAACAAACTAAACAATTGTCGATAACGTCAGATATATTGCAAATGCTGCTTGACAAATGTTCTCTTACCAAACCAGGAATTAGAAACATGGGACCACCATAATCCCCAGCCCAGTGACCATCATCTGCCTGGATTGTTGAATAAAAATTTATAGCCCTTCTTAGGGTGCAAGTTACTGCCTCCTCTTTCACATCTTCTTTATCTTTAACTTTGATTTGTGGTAGATTCACAAAGGATGGGTTCTTCTTTGCAAACTGCAATTGGAAAGTTATAAACTTTTAACTAGAATCCCTTATCCAAAATGTAGTAAAAAGAAAAATAATAAAAGATCGACGGGTCCTCAAAACCCTCTCGTGCAACGCAATCAAAGAACTTCCTTGGGGAATGAAATTTTTGCATATACCTCGATGTCCTACTTGGAAACCAATAATTAGTACCAACTAGGGGCAACATGCAATTTTCAGATCTGAATACCATAAGTTCATGAGAGGCGATCAAAAACCTTTTCATTTTTTGTATTAAAATGTGTAGCAGATTTCTTTTTGGCCAATCCAGCTTATTGAGCACAAAAGGGCATGGATCCAGGAACTATGATGATCAAATTTCAAAGCTAAATATTTAGTTGATAAATGTTGTAAGAATTTCTTAATGATATGAAAGAACGTCTGCCAGTATTGAAAATTTACTTCAGCACAGAAAGTAATTGATGGACATGGATGGGAGGAAAGAGAAAGAAGAAAGAAATTCAGAAATGAATGCGTAAAATTAAAATAGAAGTTTGAAGGAACCTGCATCCTCATGAGGAGATCAGCACTATGCTTCTTCTCGAACCTGTGGTTGGAGAAGTTTTGGCGAGCATGTTGTAATTGCTTAAGATCTTCTGGAGTGCCGAGTTCGGGATGAAAATGCCAAACTTGACGACCCACGTGGTTGTTGAGAGTTGAGAGCCATCCACCAGCATTAGAAGGATCAACAGGCACGGAATCGGCCCCAATCTTGAGTTGCCACATTGCGGTTGGTTTGAAGGAGACTCTCTAGATGAGGTTGTATTTATGAAGAATTCAGCCTGTGTCACTAAGTCACTTGATAAAAAACGTCTACCTGAAAAAAATATAAAAACATCATGAGACAAAACAAAAAAAAACCAAATGAGTACATGCCCAAGACTGTTGCATGCTTATTTTTTTTAACAAGAAACAAACTTTTCATTGATAATATGAAAACGAAGAAAAAATTTAAAGGATACAAGCTTCCAAAGGAGGGGAAAAAGGAAAAAGAAAAAAAAACAAACAGCACATAGAAAATAAAAACCCATAAAAATATGAGAAATGAAGCCCAAGAACAAAAGTTGAACACTGATTACAAGAAAGCTCGCCAAAACAAAGGACAGACTACTGAAGAGGAATCCAAAACCATCACTTAACACAAGTTAATCGCCAGAAGAGAAGAAACTGAAACCTCCCTCCACCAAGAGAAGACACAAAAGCTAAAGAAGCTCAACCCTCAAAATTGTTGTGAAGTGGAACCAACCAAAAACCTAATGTCCATAATAAAAGCCTACCTAATCGGTGATTGAATCTAGGGTAAGGCCAACATCTTCAAAAAATTTTAAAAACCTTTGATTTTCTGCCCAAGAAGCTTTTTCGACTCCCAAAGTCTGCTCCCAAGAAGGAGAAGGAATGGAATCTATTTTTTGCAGAAGAGTGATTATCCTCTACAAAAAGTAAATTAAATTTCTCTCGTAAGAAAACCTCTGATAAATCATCATTAACAACCGCTTCCTCCTCTAAATACTCTGTTGGATCTTCACTACTAACACTCACATTGAAATCTTCTTCATCTTCAGACAAAACGTTATCCTTGATTAGAAGATTGGTCTGCTCACTTGTAGAATTGATGATACCATGGATGAGAGTCTTTCCTATTCGACGTTTCTCGCAGCTGTCAAACCTAACTTCAAATTTAGAGTATCTTTCGTCAAATGAAAACTCATGAGAAGGCTCTTCACGTGACAGCAACAAATGAAGCTATTGAACATCTATCACATTTGAGGCTCTGACAACCAATATCTTATTGGAGATCAAACTCTGTTTTTTCTCAACACTTTCAACCTCCTTCACACGAACTATAATGCTGCCGAACTTTGTGTTGATTTTAACTGATGCTGGTAAGAATCCACACGAGTTCTCTTCCACCTGAATCATGGTTTTGATTTAAGGTTTTGTAGGAAATCCTCTTTAAACCACCAAGATGAACTCGATTCCAAAAATTTAAAGGAAAATTGCAGATCTTTACCCACCCTCCAAAGCATTCCACCACTTCCTTCTTGCTATGGTCTTCAAAGCTCCATCTCTCTAACTTCAAATGGAACTCTCCCACTTTTCGCCACAAGCCATTAACCCACTTTGAGTTCAACAATCTATCGTCCTCCAACTTTAAAAGCCCTTTATCTACCAAAAACGGGTTAATCTAACAGTCTTGAGAGAACTTTTCTTTAAGTGCCGCAGTAATATCCTTCCAGCTGTCTGAGGCACAAAATTTTGTGATGACCATCATATTGTCCCAATCACTCTCCAAGACTTCAAAATCCTTCCTAACCTTGGAAGAGACCCCGTATTCTCCATAAGAAAAGTGTCCACCCTACCTTGGAAGGCATCCTTAACTTTTAAAGGTTCAAAGTGAGAACGAATCAATCATTCAGCATATCCCAAAAGGCTAACCAACCTGTTTTCCTTGGTCCCAAAGAAACAACAAGCTTTCTTCTTCCCCAGTTGAAGGCCAAACCACGCATTCAATGTTGCTTCTTCGGTTAGCTATGAATTTCCTCAATCTGCAAGTACCGAATTCAATTCTTTCATGTGCGAAGAAGTAATCATGCTCTGGTAGTTGCAGTAATTCAACCAACCGATTTTCAAAACAAGATAAATGGCCAAATTTCAAAGGCAACACCTCACTGTGACTCATATCTTCGATATTAAAGCACTCATCTTCAACCCAAATGCAGAAAAGCCTATTCTCAACACGACAACGGTTGATTTCCATGTAAAAACCCAAAAAAAACACACAAAATTGCACTGTGGCGGCGGCGGAACCCTAGGCATTGAACCGTTGTCGGCGACGGCGGACAGCGAAGAGAAGCGACAGCGAATCCTAGACACAGCAGTTGAACCCTAGGAAGCGATGGAGGAGCGCTACGGCGGACGGCGGAAGCTAGGTTATGAGGGGGCGCGACGCAAACCTTAGCACAGCCCACGAAAATGACTGGCAACCCACACCCGAAGCGGCGGACGGCACGTCGACAAACAGCAGGACAGCATGAAGGCTTGCGGCGGTGCACGGCAAAGGGCTGGAGGCAACGAGCGGCGGGCGGCAGGTAATGGTTAACAGCTGGGGCTAGGATTGGGAAGGGTCTGGGGAGAGCATTTTTTAACTGAAACCTATTAGATATAATCTTGAAAGTTGAGGGACTAAACTTCTGTTGCATGCTTATTATAATTGTAATACTATATTCAAAAAGTTAGAGAGTACTGTGAAGTTTGTGACACGTCGGCAAATTCATTAACATAGTTGTTTATCTCATGGGAGTTTTGACATCGTGACTGCCAGCCCGTTTTTGTCACTCATCACGATTTTAGTGCACAAGCTTAGTGAATAGTGGAGTGCGGTTTTTTTGTGGGTGGTGGGGGTGAATGTACTGGTTTAGAAAATTGATAGTTCTCTCCATATTTTGGGAGTCTTCAATTTGTGAGGGTGTCTTTTTCTTCTTGAGATCAATTACTGTGTATTTCTTTTTCTACAGTCATTAATGAAAGCTTGAGTTGTTGTTGGGAGAGTGGATCTACACCAGCCTTGGTGGAACCACTATGATTATTTTGTGTTGAATCTATGTTTTCTTATCTTGCTTGAGTTGTCGACAATTGTTTTCACAATTGGTATAGAGCCAAGGTTTGACGTCCTAAATTTTTGGCAACATCTAAAGTGTTTAGAGTCGACGAATTTGTGCAAATGCAATTGTGAAATTTGTTTATGAACTGTCTTGATTAAATCTAGTATATACTTGTGAAATTATGTTTTTCGATTTTGTTGCTCGTTTTTTCTTTTGTTTCTGTCTAAATCAGTGTTTGTGATAGTGATAAAGTTTGTCTAGGGACCGACTGGTATTTTATGTTGGTCTGACTATTATCCCTGATGTGATAGATTTGATAATGGCAACCAAAGTTGAACTAGAAAAATTTTCTAGCAGATTTGATTTAAGTCTTTAGCGGAAGAAAATGAGTGCCCTATTAGTTCATCAAAAGGTAGCTAAGGCTTTGGATGATCCTAAAACTCTACCAGCTACATTAACAGAAGAGAAAAGAACCGATATGGATGAGATGGCTTTTATCTTGATTATTTTGTAACTGAGCGATAATATTCTTCATCAAGTTAATGGTGAAGAGACTGCTGCCAGCTTATGGAATAAAATTTACCATAAGGATTGGCTACAGGATGGATAACCCGAAGAGTTTAGATGATAACTTGGATGAGTTTAACAAGATTTGTCTAGAATAAGCAAGTACTGGTGAAAGATGACAGATGAGAATAAAGTTGTGATATTATTGAATTCTCTTCCAGAAAGTTATAAAGAAATTAAATCCACAATCAAATATGGTAGGGATTATGTGTCTTTGGATTTGGTTCTCGATGCTTCGTGATCTAAAGATCTTGAAACTAAATCCAAAAAATAAAGAAGCTGAGGTGTTATTTACACGAGGGAGAAGAACAGAGAGTAAAAATACAAAAGCAAATGAAGGAAATCAAAGTAATAAGTCTTGATCAAAGTGATGAGGAAGTGTTAAAAGATGTTACTATTGTCATAAAGGACATATTAGGCGTACTTGTTACTTGTTAAGGGCCAATAATAAACAAGGTAACACTGAGAAGAAGGATGAAGTAAGTTCTGCCAATATCTATGATGGATTGATTCAGCTGAAGTTTTGGTTGTCACGGATTATAGATGCCGAGTGGAGTGGATTTTGGATTTGGGTGTTCTTTCCACATGAGTCCTCGTAGAAGTTACTTCACAGATTTCAGAAAATATGAAGGCAGAAGATGTTCTAATGGGGAATGATAAAAATGTCATAAAAAAAGCATCAGTTCTGTGAGACTTATACACTAGCAGATGGTACTAAAAAGTTGCTTTCTTCAGGCATGTATATACTTGAAATTAAAGAGAAATTTAATATATCTTGGCACCCTTCATAAAGCAGGCTATAGTTATAAGTCTGAGGCTGACATCATGAAAATTTACAAAGAATCGTTGTTAAAATTAAAGGGAACACTCAAGAATGGATTGCATGTCTTACAAGTGAGTACAACCATTACCACACAGTAACTTATTCCAAGTCTTTGAGAACAATTTTATGGCATAAAAGGCTGGGTCATTTTGAGTGAAAGGGGCCTACTTGAACTTCAAAAACAGGGGTTGTTAGGCAAAGAAAGAATTGGAGATCTTTCCTTTTGTTTTGTTTTGTTTTTTTTTTTTTTTTGAGAAAGAAACAATTTCATTGATAACATGAAATTACAAAAGTCCCACAGAGGGATTACATGAAGCACTTCCAATTGGCTATAAGGGAAGAGTAACTATAGTGATAATCCCTTCCAATTGGCTATAAGGGAAGAGTAACTATAGTGATAATCCCTTCCAATTGGCTATAAGGGAAGAGTAACTATAGTGATGGAAAAGAGGAGAGCCTTTACACCATGTAATAACTAGATAGACTATAGCATCAAAAAACCGCTCGTAAGGGAGAAATTTGGCGTTGAAAGTTCTTTGATTTCTCTCTCTCCAAAGAAGCCAAAAGAAAGCTCGAATGAAATTCATCCAGAGAAGCTTTTTTCCTTTTTAAAAGGGTGGCCTGCAAGCGTGGATGCAATAAGGAGGGGAGGATCTGTTGGCAATACCGTGGACCAACCAAAAGCGTTGAGGATGAAGTCCCAGAAAACTGATGCATATGGACATGTGACAAAAAGATGCTGTTGGGTCTCCAAATTGGATTGGCAGATTGAGCACCATTGGAGGGATAAAGCCATATGTGGCAGTCTTCTTTGAAGTTTATCATTAGTGTTTATGGCACGGTAACTGAGCTCCCAAAGAAAGAATTTCACCTTTTTTAGTAGAAATCTTTCCAAATGACGTCACCAAGATGGGGTGAGGGGTCCAGGTTGTGGTGTGTTAAGTCCTTAATCAGGGAATTGGTGGAAAAGATACCATTAGCTTCTAATTTCCATGCCATGATGTCAGCTCTTGTGGACAAATGGACAGCAGAGAGCTGCTGGTTGAAAAACACCCAGTCAGCAATTTCTTCATCCTTTAAATGTCTTCTAAGACCCAAATTCCAGCAGCTAGATTCTTCCTCCCATAGATCCCTTATGGATGCCTCTTTCTTCAAGGATAAGGCAAAGAGAAGAGGCATTTGTTGTTCCAAGGTTTCAGCAGTCAACCAAGGAGCTTTACAAAAAGGAATGTTGCGACCATCACCAATTTTGTAGGCCAGCCGATCAAAAACGAGGTTTTGTGACTTGATAATTGCTTTCCATGGCCCTTTACTAGAAGGAAGGGAGGTTTGGATAGGTTTAAGGTTCCATGTGGATCTTCCATATTTAGCTTCAATCACCCTTTTCCAAAGAGCCGACCCCTCTTTTATGTACCTCTAAACCCATTTCGCATGAAGAACCCTGTTTTTCTGCCTCATGCTTGTGATTCCCAAACCCTCGTCAAGGATTGGCCTTTAAACAATGTCCCATTTGACCAAGTGCAGTCCATTGTTAGAGCAACTTTTGATGGCATAGGGAAGAGAGAGAGATAGTAGGTGGGGAGGTTTGATAATGTTGCTTGAATGAGAGTGTGTCTACCGCCTTTGGAGATAAAGGTGTTTTTCCATGAGTGCAATCTTTTCTTCACTTTCTCAACCATAGGGTCCCAGTCCCAAAAGGAGAGGGTCTTAGGTTTGCCATGGAGGGGAAGCCCAAGGTAGGTGTTAGGCCAAGATTCTTTTTTACATGCAAACTTTGTTGCAATGGCAGAGAGCTCACTGTCTTCTAAGCTAACCCCCAAAATTTCAGATTTCTGATGGTTTATATTGAGCCTGGATGCTTCTTCAAATAACCGAATGATGTTAAACATGGTGATGGATGAATCATCATATGGTGTGAAGAGAATGGTGTAATCGACAAATTGTAAGTGATGTATTTCCAATGATCGGTGGCCAATGCCAAAGCCCTTGATGAGGTTGTTGCTTGCTAATTGGGACATAAGTCTGCTAAAGGCATCAACAACTAAAATAAAAAGAAAGGGAGATAGTGGGTCACCTTGTCGGAGGCCCCTAGTTGCCATGATTTTTCCTCTAGGACGACCGTTGATAATGATAGAGAAATTTGCCGATGAGATGCAGCCACGGATCCAACGTCTCCAAATTTGACCGAAACCTTTTGCCTCAAGAATTGCATCGAGGAAATCTCAGTCAACTTTATCGAATGCCTTTTCAATGTCGAGTTTGATGACCACACCTTTCCTTTTTTTTCCTCTCCCAATCCCCAATAAGTTCGTTGGCAATAAGGGAAGCGTCTAGAATTTGTCTCCCGACAACAAAAGCTGATTGCTCGTTTTTAATGGTGTGTGGCAACAAGCATTTTAGCCGTTCGGATAGGACTCGGGCTAAAATCTTGTATAGGCATGATATTAGGCTTACAGGTCGACAATCCCCTACTTGTCTAGCATCAATCTTCTTTGGGATGAGACAAACATATGTTTCATTGAGGCTAGCGTTGATAATACCGTTCTTAAAAAAATCCTGGAACACCCTCAAGATATCGGCCTTACCGTTCCCTTTTGTGATCACTGTATTTTGGGAAAAGCATCCAAAGTAAGATTTTAATCGATCTGAACATTCAACTAAGGGAATAATGGATTATATTCACTCTAATCTTTGGAGGCCAGCTAAAGTTACTCCACACGATGGGGCCAAATATTTTTTAACTATGGTCGATGATTTTCTAATTATGTAACTGGAAGCTTTTAAGGCCTCTGCTTTTTCAGTTTTTGTGCTTGCTTTGGCGTTACTTTCTTTGGTGTTCTTCAATATCTTGTAGTTACTGGTCTCTATCTTTAATTCTTGGTGGTTACTTTTTTCTTTTCTTTTCACTCCCTTTGGGAAGCTTGTATCCTTGAATATTATTCTTCCTTTTCATATGTTTTAATGAAAAGTTTGTTTCTTGTTCCAAAAAAAAACCTTATGATCGATGATTTCTCACGGAAGGTGTGGGTTCATATGCTGAAGCAAAAGAGTGATGTGTTCTCTGTTTTTCAGCCGTGGAAAACTCTTTTGGAAAACCAGACAGATAAGAAAATTAAAGTTATCTGGACTAATAATGGATTAGAGTTCTTGAATGAGAATTTTAATCAAATGTGTGCAGGACGTGGTATCGGCGACATTTGACAGTGCCTTATAAGGTGAGCAAGGAGACTTAAAAAACCGAGCTGACCAACCAAAATAAGGTCAGTCGGCCGGTTTCATGGGAGGGCTCGGTCAGAGTGGCCAAAAAATAACTTTTCAACCAACCGACCTACTAAAATTGAAAAGGAAAAAGAAAAACTTGACGTAAAACTATATAACGGAACTGCGCACCCGCAGCAGTTCTCAACAAACCAGCTGGTTTCTTTTTTTATATATATTTTTTGTTTTAATTTAATTTTAATTTTTAATAATTACCCTATTGCTACTAGCCTCCTACTCTATTCTAACATTTTCCCCTTCCCCATATCTTTTCATCACTTTCTCCTCCCCTCGTGCACAAAACCCAAATTAAGCAGCAAAACATAAACAAAAAGTAGATGGAGTTAATCAATCTGTCTCAAGTCTCCTCAGCTCCATCATGTTCGGTAACTATAAGCAGCCTCTCACTTTAGGAGCCATCCAACAAATTTAATGAAGAAAATACTAAACCCAAATTAAGCAGCAAAACATAAACAAAAAAGTAGATGGAGTTAATCAATCTGTCTCAAGTCTCCTCGGCTCCATCAAGTTCAATAACTATAAGCAGCCCCTCACTTTAGGAGCCATCCAACAAATATACAATACAGCATATTATCATATACACATGTATATGAGCATAAATAAACAACGTGGGATCCTAGCTAAAAGCCTAAACCATACTTAAACTTTCTCATTCCATAATTTACACAACTTAATGCATCAATCCCTGACATGACATTTGTACCCATGACCCCAAAACTCATCTTCATAGAGAGATACTGTCCCTGTCCTTTGTACCCAGGCACACTAATACCTAGTATATTCAAATATACATATCGACCCCTAACCTTTGTACCTAGGTGCCGAAATGTCTGCACATAGCATAACCATCACACTTTGGTCTAGTCTAAGTAGAACTCAACTTTCTTGATCATGCAAGTTCTCTTCCCTGGCGTCCATGCTCACCCACCATAAGCATATTAATTAAACCAATAACTCTTGTATCTACTATATGCATAAACAATTAGCTAAAGTTTCTTTTAAGCACACTCTAGACTCAACCCACATTGAATGACATAACCATATCAATCATACATTTCCTGGACAAAAAATTCAGCAAGTTAAACCATCAATTCCATAATTAAAACAAACGGCTAGACATCAAGAATCCACGAACGCATATCATAGGTATACAGGCAACTAAATCAAGTACATAAGCAAACAAGACAAAGTAATAGGGAAAACAGACATGCAATGTCCTATAAGAGAGAGATCACTTACTTGACCCTGCTCTTTAATCCCTATTGATTCGAAATCTCTAAGGATGTATTTGGTTGGTGATCTGAAAATAGGAATATGAAAACAATGGATTTGACGAAAAACATAGTTGTAATTTATGTTTTCAGTATTTTAAAAAATGCGATTGGTAACATATTCAAAAATTGAGTTCAAAAAAAAAATTTGTTGAAACTACGTCTGGTAATGTACTAAAAAACAACGAAAATAGTGGGTAAAAAAAAAAGGCTTTTGGTTGGATCCTAAATTTTATTATATTAACATATTTTACACTAGACTATAAAACACACAATCCCCGTAGTCTGGTAAACTATGGAGTTGATCGATCTACTGACTCTGTAAAGAGAATATGCAGGTTGAATATAAGAGAAACAACGTACGGTACTGGGCCAGTCGTCGTAGATCTCGACCGTCACAAGGAAAGGGCTCGAATATGTAGGTTTGGCCTGTCGCAGGGGGCTACAGTCGGGGAGGTCGCGCCGATTCGACGTCACGAGTAGCTGGCCGTGGCTGCCTTCGCCGCCGCAGACCTGGCGTCTCGAGCGTCGCCGTCGCCGGTGGGTTTGTTCGTCGTTGGAGTTCTCAGCCGTCGCACGAAATCTAGGCTACGGAAGCGATGTTCTTGCGAGTTGCGCGCAAGGTGGAGAGGAAGGAGAAATCGGGAAAATTGAGCAAAACGACCGGGTTTTGTCCTGAATGGCCAGAGTATTACGCAAAAATGAAATCTGTCGAATAAAATTTTTTATCCTTCTATGAAACTAGTTAGATTTAATGCACGGGGTTAACATTTTTACGGTGAAATTTCATATTTAAATTAATACGCCTTTTATTAATGCTTAACCATTGAATATTTGTACTCAAAAATAATAATAAAACTATTGAATATTTGACATAAATTTTAAAAATAATGAAAGGAATAAATTAATAAAAATAACATAGATAATTAAAGTTTAAGTACATATATATGTAGCTTCGTACCTTTTTTTCAAAGAACTTTTTCCATATTAATAGTGATACTAAAATTCGAATTAATCTTCCTTTTAAAATAGTAATTAACAGCATGATTTACATTAAAAAAAAGTGAGAAATTGAAAAAAAATGTGAATTATGCGATAAGGATACTTAGGTAATTATTGTACTAAAATGATGAAATAGGTAATTTCTTTTATTTATTCAATATATTTTGTAGAATATCTTTATTTTAAAAAAATGATGTAAATTCTTTACTTTTTTTTTAATGCTTATTATTATTATTAAAAAAATTATTTTCATAAAAGAGATATTGGGGAAATATTTCGGTCCTGTTATGTATAGGTTTTCTCTCTAAATGAGAGTTTTTCTACAATTTTGATTTTCCTGTTGTTCGGTTAGCATGTGGTTGTGAAAGACGGTTTGGATTTTGGATTTGGTGGAGTTTGTTGCCTTTTATTATGGATGATCTCACTTCGCAATGGGCTGGGTTGCGGCTAACTGAGGAGGAGTCCCTGTCGGTGATCGTCAATGAACACACGACTTTGCTCATAGAGGGAATCCATTCAATTGTGTGACGGCCAAGGATTTCGACAGTCGTAAGACTAATCTTGAGGCGATCTGCTCTGTTATGAAAACCATTTGGCGAGTGCACCACGATACCCGTTTTGAAGTAGTTCGTGAGAATGTTTTTGTTATTCAATTTCGTTCGCTGATGGAAAAGAATCGGATTTTGAATTCGGGACCCTGGATATTTGACAAAGCTCTACTACTATTGGTCTCTCCTTCCGTCGGGGATCAGCTGGACACTATGGCATTTGCCCATTGCTCTTTCTGGGTGCAGGTTCACAATATCTCGATTAATTGTTTGACCTGTGATGTGGCTGCTACTGGGAGGTGCTATTAGTGTGGTTGAGGAGCTGGCAGGGGAAGGACACTTCTTGTTGGATTGGTTCGTTCGGTCGTCCTCGTATTTGCATTGATATTCGTATTCGCATTGATATTCGACGGTCGTTACAATGGGGTATTGTTGATGCAGAAATTTGGCCTCTTGGAATTTCGCCAAATTCGCATCAACCCTCAAGAATAAAAGAATCAACGAGACTTGCAAAATAAAATAACATTTCAGAATCTAGGCAAAGAGTAGAGATTTCCTGCCCCTTTAGGGTTTGACTTACTTCCTTGGAAAAGTTGAATCTTGATCCCAGGGAACGTGGAATTCGAATTTGATACATCTAAGAAACATGGTTATCTGAATCTAGACAGATCTTCTCCTTTTGAATATAGGATATTTTCTCCTAAATTTGAAGGTCATCACGATTAGGGGTGAAATTATTTCGGGTCGGGTCGATTTTCAATGGAAACCGACTTGACCCGATCTCAAGTCGGTTCGGGTCGGGTGACCTTCGGGTTTTTTTCCCTTCTTCTTCGCCTCTCTCATCAAAGTTCTGCTCATTGACTATGAATCCTATCTGGGTTGTTTCCATCCATGAAATCTCACTCAAGATCACAACTTTCTGTAAAATTTAAAGGAAAGCCACAAAATTTGTGTAAAAAAACAAATATGTCATTGTAACTACAGAAACCCACCCCAAATTATCTCCTTCTACCGATCTTCTATCTATCAAAGCTTACAAAAATCAGATCTTTTTATCCTTGATCTTCTTTACATGAAAACCCACAAAAATCCACTTAAGATCTCCATCTTCTTCGGATCTTCAAAAAACCCATTTCAAATCTTCTTTTCAAAATCGACTTCCATGAAAATCTAAGAAAACCCACCTCGAGATCTTCTTCTTCTTCACCAAAAACGATCTTCATCACAACATTGCTGCCGCGGATCTCTTTTTTGTCGTCGACGCATTTGAGAAGGAGGGAGGCGCCGATGCATTTGGGAGGGAGGCAGATTTGGGACAGAGTGAGGGAGGGAAGAACGGCAGCCACAACCAACGAGATCTAGGGTTAGGTTGATAAAGCCTAAAGGTAGGATTATATATGTTTATAAGGAATCGGTTTTTATATAACCGAACCGACATGACACATCAAGATATCTTCCCCTTTTGAATCCCTTGAATAAAGGGAATTGAGATTTTATCATTCATTTTATATATATATATATATATATATTAAGAGTTTGTTTTTAAACATATTTAAAAACAAACTCTTAAAATAAATTAAATTAACCAATTGATCATTCAAATTTTAAATTAAATTTATCATTAAAAAATTTTAATATAACTAGTAAGAAACACGTGCGGTGCACGTGAAATTGATTGGTCACCTATTTTAAAAACTTGGTATACGAAAAACAAATTTTAGGTTCGGGAGTCGGCTGAGCGTAGGGAAGGTGTTAGCACCCTACGACACTCGTTCGAAAACGGTACCATATTTTGTCAAAAATTATCCTATTATTTTATTTGGTCCAGAAAAAAAATTATTTTTGTATTTTGATTGAAATGTCTCACGTTATATTAATTCACACTTTGTTATAAGATATGAATTAATAGGTATGAGTGGCACGAATGTCATTAGAAAAATTTTATCACATCGAGAATATTGAAAAAATCCAATTTCCGTCATTGGGGTTTTCAAAATAATTATTTAGTAGAAAAAATATTAATTAATAAAAAATAATTTTAGTGTATGGTACATCAAAACTTGAACTTGTAACATAAGAGTCGTTAAAACCTCTTACCAATGTGCCAACATCTTAAGATACTATTTAATTTTTTTAAAAAAATATAAATGTTTTAAATTTTGAAATTTGGGCAAGCAAACATGAACATGAGATATGCAAATAACTCCTAAGAAGCATACCACCATGCCAACACCACAGAATACAACCTAACCTTCACTCTTAACATACAAATCTTTATTTTAAAATTTTGTTTAAAAAAAGAAAAATTAAAACTAAAACCGAAAAAAAAAACTTTATTTTGTTTTAGATTTGAAATCCGTATAACAGACTTCCTTAAAACTTAAAGAAAAAAAAAGTCATTTAAAACAAACTTGTTTAAAAAAAATCATATTTAAAACAAACTTGTTTTTAAAAAAATCAAATTTAACGCAAATTCATTTAAAAAAGAATCATATTAAAACAAACTTATTTTAAAAATAATCCAATCATATTTAAAACAAACTTATTTTAAAAAAATACATATCAAATTTAAAACAAACTTATTTAAAAACTCATATTTAAAACAAACTTATTTAAAAAATCAAATAATTTCTAAAAGCATTTTTTTTACATCATGTACTGCAGTGAGAAAATCCTTAGGTGTGCCCGCGGGTCTGAAGCCGTGAAGGAGTACTTGAGGTAGGAGTCAGGTTGCCGGAGATCTGTGTGTCGGCTGTAGAAGTGGTTCGTTATATTATTGTTGTATGTCAGGATTGTAGAGCTTTGTGCCGGACTACTGTGCTGTGGGTTGTCGGAACTTGTGATCGTCGGGAAACGTGTGCAATCGGAGTATCGTCGGGGTCGCCGGTGTGGGTGAATAAGAAGAGAAGGTGATGATGGAGAGAAAGAAGGAAGTGAATTAAAATTTTTTGTTCCTCTTCTCTGCATCGGTTTCCTCTTGCTGCATCGCTCTCTCTGTTTTGTGTTCATCTTTCGGTGTGCTCCCTCCCCTCTTAAATACTAAAAGAAACAACGATCACTTATCCTAATATTAGAGAAAGAACGTGAAGAAATGCCATGTTAGAGTAGTTTTGACCATAAAAAATAGGGAAGGGAGAAGAAAGGAAGGAGAGAGAAGAAAATCTTTTCATAATCCCCTTTTTTTTTAATAAAATCTTAATGTTAAAATAATAATAACCAAATTCCTTTCAAAACATAATCTACTTTTAATTAAAACTTATAATAAAGTAAATTATGTTACTTTAAACTAAATCAATAAACATAATAAAATAATAAGTAATAAATAAATCAACAATAAAAATAATTTTTTAACAAAAGCGAGCCAGACCAAAGACGGTGTCTACAGCTTGTCTCCCTTTGTGTATCATTGCAGAACTAAAAGGGTAGACAAAGGCACAAAAACAAAGTATTTGGAAGGCTAGATTTTTATTTAAAGAGGGCTAGAATGACGGACCTTGCTTGAGAGGCTCTGACCACAATCTTTGATCGCGTTCGATTTAAACAATGGGAAAATAAAAGGCGACGGACTTGGCTTGACACAGGCTTCAACCACGATCTTCGATGGGGTTCGATTTAACCGAAGAAAAACTAAAAGGTAACGGACCTGGCTTGACACAGGCTTTGACCACGATCTTTGATCGGGTTCGATTTAACCAACGCGAAAATAAAAGGCAACGAACCTGGCTTGACATAGGCTTCGACCAC